TTTGTATGTTGGGATTCTGCATTTGTAGAATCAACAAACCATGGATCAAAAATACTTGGAAAAATAGCAATAAAACAGTAAAAAATAGTACACATAGAAATACAGTGTAACAGTTATGTAGCAGTTACATTGTATTAGGTATTATAAGTAATATAGAGATGATTTAAAGTATACTGTAGGATGTGCATAGGTTACATCCAAGTGTTACACCATTTTATATCAGAGACTTGACTGTCCTTGGATTTTGGTAACCACAGGAGTCCTGGAACCAATCCCTCATAGATATCAAGGGACAAACCTGTATATGTCATGTGTACATTTTGGTAGCTACATAAAGTGAAGTTGAAAAGTGTCCTATTCAGTTTTCTAGAAGAATTGTGTGGAGTTGGTATTACTTATTCCCTCATTGGTAGAATTCAGGGATCAGAAAACTTCTTTAAAAAAAATTTGATAGCAAATATTTTAAGCTTTATAGGCCAAACCATCGCTGCCACAACTATTCAATACTGCCATTGTATTGTCTACAACAATACAAAAATGAATAAGCATGGCTGTGTTTCTGCAAAACTTCATTTATGGGTACTGAAATCTGAATGACATAACTTTCAGATGTCAAGAAATAACTATTTTTTTCCAATTACTTCCCAACCATTTAAAACTGTAAGAACTCTCCTTTGTTTGTTGGTTGTAGAAAAACGTGTTGGGCCACGTTTGGTCCACAGGTCAGTTTGCCAACCCCTTGTATTCACCAATGAAAACATTCTGGGTCTGGGGTGTTCTTATAAGAAGATTTTTAATTTTATATTAAATTATGTAATAGATGTATGGTTATTAAGGTTATCTATTTATTTTTGAGTAAGAATGAGTACTTCATATTTTCCAAGCAGTAGAATGAAAATACACTTAGTTGTTTATTTTTACTAACCAGAGTCCTTGTTATAAAATTTTAAAATATATTCTTCATTTTTTCAATGACAGCTTTTCTTGACTACCTTAATAAAAAGTTCCTTCACGTCATCCTACTTTATTAAGTCAAAATGTTAGTAATTTAACTTACTTATTTTGTTATATTTTATGTTATTATTTATTTATTTATTTATTTTGAGATGGAGTCTCGCTCTGTCACTTAGTCTGGAGTGCCGTCATGCTATTTGGGCTCACTGCAACCTTAACCTCCTGGGTTCAAGTGATTCTCCTGCCTCAGCCTCCAGAGTAGCTGGAACTACAGGCACGCACCATCACACCTGGATAATTTTTGTATTTTCAGTAGAAATAGGGTTTCACCATGTTGGCCAGGTTGGTCTTGATCTCCTGACCTTAGGTGATCTGCCAGCCTCGACCTCCCAAAGCGCTAGGATGACAGGTGTGAGCCACCGTGCCTGGTCTTAACTTATTTATTTTTCAGTTCACACATGAAGGGAACATAATGTGATGAAAGAGCACCTGGAAAACCCCAGGATACTGGAATTTTAGTCCTAGAAAATAGTGACTTTGGGCAAGTCATCGAATGTACCTGGTCCTCTGATTCTTTACTCATAAAATGCGGACATTGGGAAAGGTGATCAATGAGGGCTTCATCAGCTCTAAAGTCTATACTGCTGTTTCTGTACATCTCTGTTAATTTATTTGGAAATGGAACAAACACTATGGCAAGAAGTCACACCTACCATGCAGGCTGCTGAGAGGATTGAATGAGTCTGCAGCACACGTGGACAAGGGCGTGGTCCCCAGTAACTACTGCATAAGATCTACCTAGTATTCTATTCAGTATCCCATTAATCAAGTCTTATCTGGTTTATGTCTTTGGTTATTAATTTCCCAATTTGTAAAATGAAGTTCTTGGATTAAATGAGTGATATTGAATGTACCACCACCAAAAATTGCTTTGATTTTCCTCACTCAAGCAATTCATATTTTTAAAGATCCTGCACCTTCCAAAATTGCATATATTGAATAATAATTTTATTATTCTCTCACTTTAAATACTGACTATCATGCGTAGATAAATATTTTACTGTGGTTTTCTACCCCAAGTGTTAAGATCAGAATGTTTAGAGCCTTCAAAAACAAGGGCTGAGGTGGGGCTGGTCATACCCACAGCTATCAGCTGAGGAGCCTCCTATGGGGATGATAGGAAGTATGCTGTTATTTCTCGTACCCTAGGACTAAGGGCAGCAGAAGGGAAATGATTTATCTAATTTTTTAAAGGAAAATTTTTAACTCTAATGTGCACACTGAAAATTGAAGCTAATTATTAAAACTTGTTTTTTCTTATACAAAATTAAAGCCTGCTTGTTGTAGAAAAGTGCAAAGGTGAAAACTTCACCCAGGAACACCTACAGTGCTCTGGCAGGTAACCTAAATATATACAAAGTGAGTAGGTCCTTGGAGAATAGTGTGAAGAGGGGTAACAGAACAGAAAAGGTTAAGTGAACAAAAATGTCTAGAAGTCAAATGCAACTTTAAGCTGTCAGTTTGTAATCTTTCATTTAAAACCATCATAATTTCTTCAGTCATAGACAATCGCTGTTAAAAATATAATGTGGGCTGGGAGCAGGAATTCACTCCTGTAATCCCAGACTTTGGGAGGCAAAGGCAGGTGGATCATGAGGTCAAGAGATCCGGACCCTGGCCAACATGGTGAAACCCCGTCTCTACCAAAAATACAAAAATTAGCTGGCCATGGTGGCACGTGCCTGTAGTCCCAGCTACTCAGGAGGCTGAGGCAGGAGAATCGATTGAACCCGGGAGGTGGAGATTGCAGTGAGCCGAAATCGTGCCACTGCACTCCAGTCTGGTGACAGAGTGAGACTGCATTTCAAAAAAAAAAAGTAATGTGTGTTCTTTCAGTTCTTTACTTATACACATAGTATTATGTTAATATATGTTTAACTTTGTAACAGAAATGATACCCTAAAGAACATTTTTTTCTAGGTTAGTTTATTTAATATACCATGAGCATTGTTTCATAAACACGTGATTTTAATGACTGCACAATTCTTTTAAACGCAAGCCTTTATTCAATGATTTCCTCTTTGGGGACATTATGTTGCTCTCTTCCAAATGTGCCTAAATGTTCAAATAAACATCTGAAAGTCTTTGAGGTAACCTGGTTCCAAAATGGTTATTCCTATAGTTTTTCACTTAGATCTGTGTGGACCCTTGAAAGCTGGGTGGTCTCTTAGAGGCAGAAGGCTCCCAGAACCTGAGGTGCTGTCTGGTCTGGGATTTATGAAATCAGGGGCTTGCTTTTTGTTAACACACAAAGTGTGTACTGATGGAAGGATGCCACATCACATTTATGTTTTGTCACCAAACATATAGTGTTTGATTAAAAAATTGGGAATTGATCAAGCATGGAAAACATTAACTTATTTACATTTTACCTGAAATTTTCTTGATATAACTTTGAATTTTATTTAAAGTAGAATAAAAATGTTCTCAGAGCAAAGTACCGTCACTTCAAGTAAACCTTTTCCTTTCCATTTTCTCAGCAGAATCACTGCAGCAATTGCCAGCTATTTGGTGAGTCTCTTCTCTCCCTGCTCCTAATCCACTACTCATTGTTCTGAAAACAGCTCCATGACCATGTCACTCTTTTGTTCACTGACCATCAATGGTTCCTCACTGTTCACAGAATAAAACTCCGTTTTATAGATAGGCATTCAAAGCATTTCACTTGAGGCTCTAAACTGCTTTTGCCACCTCATTTTCCATGTCCTTCTTCATAAATTGTTTGCTATAGTCAAACTGACTAGTACGAAAAACTATCTTTTACCTCCTGCCTGCATGTATTAAGTGGACTTTTTTAATACCTACAACAACCCTGAAAAGCACAATTGTTACTTTTAGTCTGTATATGAAGAATCAGTGCATAAGGGAAAGAGGTAGGATTTGAACCCTGAGTTTTTCCACTATGCCCATTTTTTTCCATTCTTTTTTTATTGTGGTAAAATACATGTACAATTTACAATTTTTACCATTTTCAGTGTATAGTTTAGTGTTACTAAATACATTCATAATGCACATCCATCACCCCATCCATCTCCATAACTTTTTGTCCTGTAAAACTAAAATTCTATACCCATTAAACAATGACTCCTCTTTCTCTCCTCCCCTACAACCCCTGAAAACCACCATTCTACGTTCTGTTTCTATGACTGTGATTTCTCTTCACTATATCATGTAATTGGAATCATGCAGTATCTTCTTTTGATGAGCGGCTTATTTCATTAGCACCCTGTCCTCAAGGCTTATCCATGTTGTAGCATATGGCAGGATTTTCTTCCTTTTTAAGTCTGTTCCACTCACTTACAGATCCCATTTTATTTATCCTTTCGTCCACTGATGGACCTTCGGGTTGCTTCCTTGTTTTGGCTATTATGAATATGGCTGCTATGAACATTGGTAGAATAAATATCTCTTTGAAACCCTGCTTTTGGGTATAGATCCAGAAGGATCCACTAAGCCCTTTTGGTTTGGATTCCCTACCCAGAGCCCTCTAATTGGCCTTTTACTTTCCTGCCTTTGAGCTTTTCCTTTTGCTGCGCAGCCTACCTGTCCTGTCCTATTTTGGTTCCCTGCCTACTGAAGTCCTGTTTATTCTGCAAGCCTCTTCTATTTGTACCTACCCAATGCCTTTCACAAAGTAGGTGCTCGATAACTAATATATAGTTAGATATATCTTTACTATATCTCCGCTGAAACAATGTAAAGAGGTAGGAGGCAGAAATGACGTCTTATTATCCCTTATGGCCTGTACACAGTAGACCGTTTAGGAAAAGTTTATTAAATAAATAAAGTCCTCCATTTCCCCTGGAACAAAAGGTATGCAGGGCAGCGTATTTCATGGGCTGTCCAAGACCTCATGTCAGAAATGTATGTTTAGGCAGGAAGAACACACAAGAGGCAAGAGAGTAAGAAAGGACGCTGGAAAATGTTGCTAGCTGGGTCAATTCCAATTTGGCTAAAACAAGCCTTCTGCTTCTTCTCCAGGGTTCTTTCTCCCAGCATCACTTATTAATGCTAATTAGTCAAGGGTGTGCCGTGATGCAGAACACTTGTGACCTGTAAGGATTAGAGAGACAGACTGTCGTTTCTCAAATGACCCACGAGAGGCAGCCAGAGTCAGCGACGGGGAAGGAGCGGAGGGGAAGAGGAACTTCTCTGCAAAGAATCTCACTAAAGTAAGTGCAAGTAAAAATAAATCCACATATAAAACAACTGTACAAATGTTAGCAGTATTTTCACAGCTGGGTTTCTTTGCCTAAAATACTTAGCACTTACTCTAGAAAACTCACTTCTAAACAGAAATGGTCTGACTGATCACAGAAGCTGAACCCTGATACAACTCTGACTTTGAACTTGACTTTTGCCCAGATGGGAATAAAAATAATGACTTCTTCTAAGTAAGAACCTTAATTGCCACGAATTCACACCAGACTGTGGTGGGTGACCTTTATCTCACATATGAGAACATTAAGGTTGGGCTTGGTTTAGGAAGCTAGATTCGTTAACAGTCAGCATATTTATATCCAGATTAGGTAGGACTCTGGATTTAAAACACTTTCCCTTGGAAAACACCGACTCTGTCTGTTTCCATGGCACTAAAAACACCCCACTTGAATAACTGCCCAGTTGCTTATCATAGCAGGATTAGTGGTCTTCTCGAAGCATCTGCATTCACATTCCTGGTATTTATTTCCTGTAGATATTGGTTTCAAAGACTGATGCCACAGGACATGAATAATCATGGTGACTCACTTTTAGGGACTTTCCCCTGGGGAGTGCCACCTACAGAGCCTCATAATGTAGTGGGCACATATTAATTAAAATATGTTTCATCTCCAAATGACTATGACAGAAGCTATACTCATGAATATGACAACTAAATACGAAATAATATTGTAGTGACTAGCAATGATTCAAATATTGTGCTCATGATGTTATCTTTCATCCATTTATTTAATAAATACTTAATGAGTGATGGGACTTCTATGTGTCAGAGTGCTGGTTATTGGAATATATAAGTGGAATTAGACAAAGGCCATGTTTCAATAAATTTACAACCCAGCAGGCACTGTTCCTATGAACTAATGAGATTTTTTAATTTAATATTTTTTGATCAAAGCAAGGGAGTCTTCAAATTTACCAAAAATATATTTGGTAAGGAAACATTAGACAGAGCCAATTATTCCTTCTTGGTTAAGAAACCACGCTTTGTACTTACACTTCCGTAGTGATCAGGGACTTCTCACCCCTTGAATTTCTGTAGCATAAATTGTTGACGTCTCTTCACTTCCCTGTCTCATTTCCTTGCCCAGGTGGTGAGCCCTGTGCATGAGCCTCTGCCTGACTCATCTTTGTATCTGCAATGCCTCACACATGCCTCACATCTCTCCGCCAGGCAAGCAGTGTTAGCGAAAACAGGATGTCATCATGTCATCAGTTAAGTAAAGAAGAGGTTGACAACAAACTGTGAATAGAAAAGTCAAATAGGGAGGCATTGGCCTTTAAAAAAATTATTTTCCAAATTATCCTATAGTAAAGTTGACTTTTTTCTTTGATGTACAGCTGTATGGATTTCCACATATGTATAGATTTGTGTAACCACCACAAAGAGGGTACACAACAGTGCCATAACCCCCCAAAGCTTCCCCATGCTGTCCCTTTATAGTTGCTCCCTCCCTCCACCATAATCCCTGGCAATCACTAATCTCTTCTCCAGCATTGTGCTTTTCTTTTGAAATTGGCATCTCTTACTCAGCACAGAGTTATCTACGTTGTTCTTTTTTATTACTTAATAGTATTCTATCATATGTGGTATCGCAGTTTATTTACCCTTTCACTCATTGAGGGACATTTAAGTTATTTTCAGTTTGAAGCTACAGTTAAAAAAAAAAAAAAAAAAAAACTGCTCTGAAGTTTTTGTTTTGCTTATCCATTTCACGTGAACATACATTTTCATTTCCCTGGGGGAAATACTCAGGATTGACCTTGTGGAGTCATAGTGTAGATGTATGTTTCACTTTATAAAGAACCTGCCAAGCCATTATCCAGGGTCACTGTAGCATTTTCCAATTCCAACCATTATGTATGTGAATTCCACTTATTCAGCATCCTTGTCAACACTCTGTGTTGTCAGTATTTATTTTGGACATTCTTTTTTTTTGACGGAGTCTTGCTCTGCTGCCCAGGCTGGAGTGCAGTGGTGTGATTTTGGCTCACTGCAACCTCTGCCTCCCGGGTTCAAGCGATTCTCCTGCCTCAGCCTCCAGAGTAGCGTGCGCCACCACACCCAGCTATTTTTTTTTTTCTTTTTCTATTTTTAGTAGAGATAGGGTTTCACCTTGTTGGCCAGGCTGGTTTTGAACTCCTGACATCAGGTGATCCACATGCCTTGGCCGCCCAAAGTGCTGGGATTACAGGCGTGAGCCACCATGCCTGGCCTTATTTTGGACATTCTGATAGGTGTGTGGTTGTAGCTCATTGTTGTTTAAATTCACATTACCTTAATGGCTTGTGGTAATGAACATCTTTTCTTGTACTTTATACAGTAGTCCCCTGTTATCCAAGGTTTCGCTTTTTGCAGTTTCAGTTACCAGCAGTCAACTGCGGCCTGAAACTATTTAGGAGAAAATTCCAGGAACAAACAATTCATAAGTTTTAAACTGCACACTGTTCTGAGTAGTGTGATGAAATCTTGTGCAGCCCTGCTCCATGGGACATGAATCCCCTCTGTCCAGTGTATTCATGCTGTATAGGCTACTTGCCTGCTAGTCACTGAGTAGGCACCTCACTTCCCAGATTACTGTCACAACATTCCATCATATATTCATTTTATCACCTCACATCATCACAAGAAGAAGAGTGAGTGCAGTACAAGATGAGGGAGAGACCACATTCACATAACTTTTATTATAGTATATTATTATAATTGTTTTATTATTATTAGTTATTTAGGGTTCAGTATGATCCACAGTTTCAGGCATCCACTGGGGGTTTTGAAACGTATCCCCTGTAGATGAGGAGGCAACGGTGGTGGGGGGACTCCTGTGTCTTCTTTGGTGAAGCATCTGTTCAAGCTCTTTGTTCATTTTTAATTGGGTTATTTTAGTTCTTATTGTTGAGTTTTGAGAGTTTGTTATGTGATCTGGATACAAAGTTCTCTGTTAGATAAGAGATTTGAAAATATTTTCTTTTAGTCTGTGGCTTGTCTTTTTATTCTTTTGGAAGTGATTTAGTAGAGCAAAAGTGTTTGATTTTGATAAAATTTCATTTTTTCTTTTTTGTATCATGCTTTTGGCATCATTTAAAACTCCTTTCCTAATCCCAGATAATGAAGATATTTTTCTATGTTTTCTTCTAAAAGTTTTACAGTTTTATGATAAATACATTGCCCTTTGATGAACAAAAAAATTGGCTACGTGATAATAGATTTCCTTCTTGGTGGTGTAATTTGCCCTATTGATTTTGGAGAGTTGTAGGAGCCTTCGGGACAGGGCTGCATGCCTGGGAATGTCTCTTGCATCACACACAGGCAGAACCGCAGTCTGCTATCCACCATCAAATATTCAAAAATAGCCTGATAAGCAAGTGTTTTTTCATGTGTGCTAGATTCATATGATGATACTGCCTGATCTGAACCATTGCGAGACTACTTGTGATGTTTATTTTATCCCTGTTGATGTGACCACCGCACATTCAGTTATTGAAGTCTTCATGTGTCGACTTAGGGGTCCTACTCCAGTGCCTGATCAGAGTATTCCATAATATTCGGTGTATAGACTGTATTACATATCTACCATCTGAAAATTCTGAATCCTGAATAGTGGATTTGTTCACAAGGGTTTCAGAAAGAGGATTGTGCGTCTGACATTTAAATGGTTCTTGTGATATGATAGTTCTCATAGTCGCGACAAGGAACCTCTTCTTCCGGTGTCCCCATTCCTGACCAGAAGTTCACATTAATTTGACTGAGGATGGAAAGAGGGATCACTGTATTTACTACATTATTCAACCCAAATTAATATATTTCTCTTGTGAAAAAGGAGGTTTCTTGATATATTTTCCCATTCTTCTTTCTGGTGATAAAACTACTGGCCAGACAGCCCCCAAATATTGGAGAAGACCCTGGTTTTCATATGATGATGTATGTATGTGAGTACACACATTGATTAGAAACAGGATGGGAGGCCTGGGTTAGACCCAAGCATGGACACACCAGCCCTCTACTGGCCAGGACTGGGATGTTGTGTGCCCATCTGGGCCAACTGGAAGCAAGCAGGAAGATGTTTGGCATTATTTGGGGCAGTCTGTGCACAGTGGCTGACACAGAGCAAAGGCCAAATAGAAGTTAAGCAAAGGGCATTGTGACCACAATGTCTTGTCATTTCAGGTGTGACTGTGCCTATCATTGTACCATAAAGAATTCAGCCCATGTGACTAAGTTATGCCTTTCTCTGTAGCAGCTTAATGGGAAATCAGGGCATCTTCGGCACTGTAGCGTGTCACTTTATCAGACACTGATCCAACTCACGCACTTTGTCCTTCTGCTGCACGTCTTTCCTCCTCCTTTACTGCTACCATTAGAGTGAGAACCCCTGCTATGATTCCACTCCCTGTCTAAAGCCAAGTGTACTCTGAGAAAGAAACTATTCTCTATCTGCTTCCAGAAGCTTATCTCAAGACTTAAAACTTAAAGAGAATAAAATTAATAGCCAGGAGTAACAAAAGAGAGAGAGAGAGAGAGAGAGAGAGAGAGAGAGATTTTAGCTTGCCATTTCTTTATGTATTTTCATCTTGTGAAGTTCAGTTTGGAGAAAAACACTTAGACATGGGGCAGGGTCGGTTCAGGGGCAGGGCCATATTTAAAAGCTCAAAATGCTTGTTTTTGTGGTGCCAAAGGAATCGACACTTCTTTTTTCTTCCCAAAAGGAAACAGAAGCTTATTATCCTGACAGAAAGTGCAGAAGTTTTTAGGTGGAGATTAACCCTTACTCCCAAACACTGAGGCTCCTGTTCAACTTCTTGCTTAAGAGATTTCAGTAACTTTTAAAAATTTTTAGCATGCTACATTGGTTCGCTCTCCAAATAATTTAGAAAACTTGTGACCTGAAGCTTTCATGGAGTTGATGTAACTGTTCTGGAAATCTCTTGACTTGAACTTGAGACTCACTCGCACACAGCTGCAGTATGTCCACCATCAACAGCAATCTGTACCCAGAAAGCAGAGGGAAATGGGGGAAAAACAAGAGACAATCTTCAGGAAATCTAGGTCTTTCCTAAGCTGCAGTTCTATATATTGACCACCAGGTGTCTATCTTCACACAAGCAGTCTTGCTTGGATGATGGTGTACTAGTTGACTGTGGGATTATTTTAAAAATGAAAGCAGTTTTTTAGGTACGGGTACATGTAAGTATAAATGTGCAAATGTAAAGTGAAATCTCAAAGCCAAACTTAATAATTTACAATTCCTTATCTAAGTAGGATAATCAGTTGAACCTTGTGTTGATCTTTTAAAGTTGTTTGAAAAAACTAATTGGGGCAGTAAATGGCCAATAGATTTGGGGAATGGTGAAAAAAAAATTGTCCTCTCCCTAAATCTTATCATGCTATTTTTTTAAAATTTCCAGGTTCTTAGCATGCAAACAGGTGTATGTTCCCAGGAAACAGGCTTTTGGTAAAAACAGACAAATTGTATTCTGAGCTGGCTTCTGTAATTCATAGTTCAGTCTCTACTGTAGCTTGTTTTCCAGTTTCAATTCTAGGCCCTGATACAGGTGAAAAATATCTCTACCGGGAAGTGCAAGAATAAGATTTGACTTCTTTTGTCCCATAATTGGAAGTGACATTGTAATCGAATTAGGTAACTCCAGGTTTAGGACGCACAATTTATGCATTTATGTCAATCTTAGAAAATAAGTGCTCTTTTGGTCTGCAAAGAAAGGTCACCAGATTAAACCGCTTCAGGGATATCTTTTATATCTCTCACTCTACTTTTGTTTGTTGTGTGTTTGTTTTGTTTTGCTTTAAGTTACCCAAAAAATAATTTCCATAATTTTAGGAATCTTCTTTTCTCATTCTCTTCCTTGCCACAACATGGAGGTCCCTGAGAGCCCTAGAGGCCCCTTATATTTTTAAATAAATTATATATATAGTACAGAAGTACTTTAAGTGAAAGAACTGTACCATCCAATGCAACTATTTTAGTGAGGGCTGAGAAGGAAGAAGATGTAAATATATTACATCAAAGTACTGCGTTGAGACTGAAGACTGTCCTTTTGGTTGTTATTATTAATTTTTATTTGATTTTGTTTAATGTTTTTGATACCTTGGAAACATTAAAATAAGTTTCTCCAGTGACCATATCTATCAAGCTCTTTATTGGGTGGTGCTCTCACAAGTATTGGCTTCTTATTTCTGTTACCCCAGATATTTATAGATAATGCTTACTAAAGCTCAGTTTGTTCCCAAATTTTGTGTTTTTAACACTATTTTTTACAATACATTCATTTGTGCATTAATTTGATCA